TTCCCAGTCTACCCCAACAAAGCCTCCAGTGGACAGCCGCCATCTGTCAACCAACTTGACGCAACTCCCATCCAAGCTGGACCCTGGCATCTTGACCCCCCTCTATATGCTGCTGCCTCCCAGACCTAAAATTGGAGATCTCTTTTCGGCTGGAACCAATCACGTGTTACCATTTCTGGGTCACCTTGATAGGAAGCAAGGTCTCAAAAAATCTGGAATGCCATTCTCCACTTGCAGAGAACCCCGATTTGAAGGGGAAACACCCACGAGAGAAAGCCAAACATAGCCTCCAAAGTACGTGGACAAGGGGGAACTGGAGAAAACCAACCATCTTTTGGACCCCTCCCTCACTTTTGGGAGGGTAAACCCACCCTTTTGGTCCTGAAGTTTTCGTAAACACCCAGCTGAAAGGCCCAACAGGGGGGGGAACACCCGTCGCACAACACATTCCTTACTTTTTCGGCGTTCACCGAGGAAACTCGAAAACTTTCGGCACCCAAAACACAGCCCATGTAAAAACCGGGAAATCCAACAAAAAAGACACAAGGCACCACCCCAAACCCACCCAAAACCACCCAAAACCCACCCAAAACCACCAAAAAACCCACCCAACACCCATGTTCTGACCACCCGAAAACCCAACCCAACCCAAACCGCATCTGCCTTGAACTCCCGCGCCAGGTTTTTCGCCATGGCCTTGAACTCCTCCACCGCTTCCTCGCGGCATCGGGCGGGTCCCGGGCTGCCCGTGCCTCTGGCTTTTTGGGGGACCCCCCAAACCCAAAATGAGGGGGTTGCGTTCTGGTGTCATCTTCTAGGTTCTGCCCACTTCTTTCGCCAAAGGGAAGCCACCGGTTTTGTGGGTTCACCCATTTTTTGAAGACAAAGCCAATTGCAAGGCCTGGAAGAATTGGCAGAGTGGGGTGGCATCCTCGTTTGTTGCCCATTTAGTGTTGCCCAAAATACCTACCAGGCAACTGGAAGTGGTTCATCTTGGTGGGTTTAGGCCGTTTGTGGCGCCATGAATTGGAAAAGAATTGGGCTCCGCCGCTTCTCTTTTTGAAGAAGAAAAAAACAAGACCTGGTGTTGTGCTTCGTTGATTTGCGCCTCGGGCCAGACAGAGTAGAGGGCGAAGCATTCTTGATAAGTACAGTTCCACGCTCGTCAGCTTCTCCGGAAATTGGTGTTCCGGGGGCGGTTTCCCACATACCGTCAACCAGAACTAAGATTTAACATGCCGAAAAAAAGCCAAAACATACAAAAAAATGCCAAAACATGCAAAACACATGCAAACAAAAATTGCCACAAAATGACACAACATGCAAAACCTCCAATCCAACCCACCAAATGGGAACCTGCAATGGGGTATCCCCCTCTCACCTCGCTCCCGCCTGTGAAGCGCTCAGCTCCATGAGGCCCCCCAACTTCTCGATCTCCTGCTCCTCGACATGAGTTGGGCTCAAGTACGTGGACCGTATGTCCCCCACAACGATTGGTTTCCTGCTGGTACCTCCCCAAAAACACACACACACACACACACACACACACACACACACACACACACACACACACACACACACACACACACACACCCACGCACACACACACACACACACACACACACACACACACACACACACACACACACACACACACACACACACACACACACACACACACACACACACACACACACACACACGCACACACACACACACACACACACACACACGCACACACACACATGAAAAACCACAAAAAAACAGGGTTTCTGTTGGTCAATTTCAAAAGAAATCCCTTGCCCCCTCCCAACAGAAAAGAAGAGGAAAAACGGGCGCTGGGCAGCTGGGGCTCGGTGTGCCGCGGCGAGGTCAGCTCGCCCTCAAGGGGAATGGATGAGGTGCCGTCCTGGCCGGGAGAGACGAGACGCACGAGACACGAGGCGTGTCAAGGCGCCGGGGGATGAAGAGAAACGTCTACTCGCAATACTCGTTTGGTCCAAGGGCTTTAACAGGCTTTCCACTGTGATACCACGGGAAGGCCTGGGGAAGGCTCCCTGCACAATCGTCTGTTCACACAGACTTGGAATGTAGTCAGGTAAATCAGTCGTCACGCCTCGCAGAGATGCTGTTGCAAGGGTTAGCAATGCACAGGTTGTGTGAACAAATTCAGCCCTTTTGCGGGCGTCATGTAGCATCCCAAAATCAGTTCCTATGAAAACCCACTCGGCTTGTTCATGCTTGTTGTATTCTCTGCAACTGGAAGAAAGCAACTGTTCCCTATTCACATACGCAAGCTGCCATTGATAGCAGCTGGTCTCAATTGGGGACATTGGCCGGCCTGGCGCTTTTGTTCTGGCTCTGTGATTTCTCTGGACCCTCGCCTTCCTCGCAGCTTCATGTTAACCCCGGATTAAGCAGAACCCCTGGTTGATTTTGATCGGGGGGTGTCCCCTTTTAGTGGGGATGCATAACTTTTGGAGGGGTTTTCACCCCCCTAACAATGGGATGGGTTTATTAATCCTGGGTCAACATTACATGGTTGCCGTTCCAAGATTGAGCATCCAGTGCGGAAGGCCAAGAGTTCCAAGGGCTTATCAGGGCACCGGTACCACTAAAATTTCACTTGGACTGGTTAATGTAGGCGGGAAGACATGGCAAACAACAACATGTCCGCGAGGCTCTTGGCAAATCTCAGACAAGTTCTATAGCGGATTTCTTCTAGATTCTCTTAGACTCAAAACATCACCCATCCCCAAATCTCGGCATGAACACGCACAGCATGCTCTTTAACATAGAACCCCCAGGCCAACTCACCAACTGACGAGAAAACCTGAATGATCTCAAAAGGCACAGCCGGCGGTTGGTCAGATCAGGTTTCCATCTTGACAATTTTCCTGTGCTAGTCATTCTAAAAGAGAAGATCCTTGAAATGGAACTTGTCTCGTGATGACCGTTTCCCATCAAACTTTTCAGAAGTGAGATTCCCGATTGGCGGCTCCATGCGCGGCAACCTCATCATTTCTGGCCCTCTGGATCTGATTGAAACCCGGAATCCGCGAGCCTAACATCGAACTCGAACAAATGATGTCTCACATCAACTCCTGTGAAGACAGACTCCCTTCCCTTGAGGATGCCGTTGCTTCCTGGGTTTTTTTTCGCCAAACGCCCCGTGCGGAAACCCGAAACCCGCCCTTGCCGCCTCTTTGTACAGCCATTGAAGGAGCTCTTGCCCTTCAACTTCCCCATCCGCAGTCGCCTTGACGGAGGCATACCTTGCAAGGACGACACCAGCCATGTCTGGCAAGAGCGCCCAGTCGGTCAATCTGGGCAAATCAAAATCGAACCAGACGTGATCCTCACTAAAATGATGTCCACCAAATTTAGATGGTCCCCCATTGAAATTCACACCCATATAACAAATTCCTTTCGTACCCTTTTGGACAACCGCTGTCTTCTCATGCCCTCCCCTGTGCAGCCATGGTGTTGCTTGTTTTCAGAACAGGATCATACAGGCCGAACCTGCCAACCAATTCCTACAGTTCTGGACTTCGAGGGAGAGGTACTGCTGAAAGCACCTGCGAACACGTGTTTGTGGCTGATTGCAAACGCGACGCGATGCATGAACAAGCATGCTTGGAAAGCAAATCACGCCCAAAAGAACGGCAAACTTCGGATTGCCCTACTTTCCTCCCCTCCCATTCCCCCATTCTCTTTCGCCCACCTTCCCTCCCTGCTCCATCCACCCTCCTCAGCATAAGGCCCTCTTTATCATCACCTGCATGTTTTCTCTCGTTCTTATGCCATTCTCATCTGTTGGAGCCTACACAACCAACCAAGACACCCATAAGACAACCCGAACCGGCCGGGGATCAAGACCCGACCTTTGGGAAGCCTTGGAGAGGCGGAGCTCCGCCTGACTTTTGGGTACCGAGGCGCAGCACGCTGGCGCCTTCGGCCCCGAAGAGCTGGTGGATCTCCTCGCGTTTCCGGCGGCAGGTCGGAGGGGGGGGATTTGGATGGGGGGGGGGGGGGGGCAAATGGTGGACCTGTTTTTGGAGTGTTTTAAAAGCAAGCCAAAAGGAACATATACATATATATATATATATGTATATATATATATATATATACATATATATATATATACATAATATCTACATCTATATATATATATATATATCGGACAAGCCCAGAACACTTCAGGCCGCTCCATCAGCTACAATGCCCTCGGTTTCCTTACGTGGGAGACTTGAGTGCTTTGGCCTGGTTTTGTGGGTCATTTGGGCGGGTTTGCGTTATCTGCCCCGTACTTGAGCTTTGTCCCTCAATGCTTGCAGAAACAGGCTTCGAACATGGAAAGTAGTTGCAGAACCTGTATAATATATATACATATATGTATATATGTGGTCCAGTGTCTATGGTCCCCGGGTCCTATACGCGTACGAGTGATGTTTGAGGGTATCCTTTTCGTGTTGGTTTAAACGGAAACCAAGAGGAATCCAATCATTTTCGGATCCCCTATTTTGACACATACCCATGTCTGCGCAAGTCAGATTGAGAAGTTGGGATGCCTAATGGGGCGCACAGGCAGCCAGGCAAGAGAGACTTAAATGGATTCAGGCCTCTCGACACAAAGCGATGTTTGGAGGATCCCCCTCCTCCTTCTTCAGGACCTGTCCGGCTTTTAACGCCTCCGCCAGCCGCGAACCCGCCCGCGGCGCCATGGGCGAGCGGAGGGCCGGCCCTGGAAGAAGCTGCGGCATGCAGGGGTTGGTTGGTTGGTTGGTTGGTTGGTTGGCTGGCCGGCCGGCTGGCCGGCCGGCCGGCTCTCGTTAAGCTTGCTGAGAGCACTCTGAAAGGGGGGCCCGGGGTGGGGAAAACGGTTTGCTTGTAAAAACAAAAACTCCTGCGGGGTTCCCTTTGGAATGCGTGATTTCAGCTTGAAACACATCCAGCGGGTCTCCTGCGAACCATCGACCCAAAGAAACTGGGCGCCGCGCGCGCGGTACCCGCCGAGGTTGGCGCAGAGCTCCTCCATGAAGGCCCTCGCGGGACTGTTTCCCGCTACCCCCCAAACCCGCACGGGGGAATGCCACCGGCCACCGGGTAAATTTGCACATGGGAAAAAAACAAAAACCTTCTCTTGGACTCTAAGTGGTTCATCATCCCCACTACTGCACTCTAAAGGTGTGCCCTGTCACAGAAACTGGCATAAAGCCCAGTTTTCCACCATGGACTTGCAGGCTGCAACCAAAATCGCAGATGGTGTCCACTTTGAGGGGACATGGGGTATATACACGTGGCCATGTACAGGTTGCATATCCCAGACTGGAATCCATGGAAAGATCATCCAAAAATCAGCTGGTTCACAAGTTGGCATCTTCGAAAGCAGCTGGGAAATGTGATTTGAGCCCCCTCCGCATGGCTTGCGCTTTTGGTTTTTTTGTTTGAAGCATCCCCAGGTACGCTCCCTATGAAACTGGGGACCTTTTGGCAGATGTCATCTAAGGGAGCTATGCCCACCATCCATTTGTTGACGGGCTCCTTTCAGTAATTAAGCTGCAACGTGGCCCCTTGTGGGAAGCCGAAAGGACAACCGAAACAAAAGGGAAGCGTTCAATGCTTTCAGAGGGATAGCACGAAGAAACCAACCACCTGAATGGGGCCCCTACCATTCCCCCTACGATGGCTGTGCCTGGACGACTGGCCTCGGCCTTGGCCTCAGCCACGTCAGAGGCTGCGGGTTTAGCTGAGCGCACAGAGACCAATCTGCGCAAATTACTGTAAGGGTGCGTCCTTTTTTAGGGACCCCCCCCCCCTCAATATTGGCTGTTTCCCTTTTTTTTGGTCCCTCGAAAACCAGAAGAGAAAAAAAAGGGCGCCACGAAAATACCAATTGGCTGTGGCCCAAAATACGGTCCCCCCAACCCCCAGTTTGTAGGAACAAAGGACCACAAAATCTGCGGGGGCTCGTCTGAACCCCAGAGCTCTTGTTTCTTTATAGGTTGCCCAGAAGGAACCTGGAGTTGACTTGAACGAAGCAACCTGCACCAAGTTGCCCCTGATAGAAAAAGGAAGCTCTTTTTGTGGTTGATGAGTTTGGTGGGGTGCTTCCGACCCCGACAACCAAGCCCTCTACCAGCACAGCCAAATCCCTGGCTGGCCAACGAGAAAGTAGTAGGATCCATAGCAACTCAAAGAGGGATCCGACGGATGAGAGGACAGGAAAAAAAGCCTGTCAAACCAGCCTTTGCCTAATCTTGTGGTTGTCGCTTTCAAAACAGACACCCTTACCTGGCGCCTTCACATGTTGTTTCCTATGTGGCAGCTTCCAAGGGGAACCTGGTCGCAAATGGCAACTTGAGAAATCGTGAGCCCCGAGGCAGGGTTCCCAAGCCACAAATCTTGGATCCTTTCGCCCGAGAAGGTTTGACCCCTTCCCGTCAAACCTTTTCCTGGCTGAACCCAACAAGCCACTCAGGGCCCCGCCCCAATCCTCGGCCTGGCAATCCGGTCTTGGCTGGCATCCTTTGGGACCGGTCCCACGGGCACGCAGGGACAAGAAGCACGCCAATGGATTTTGCCAATCATGGAATCCAACAACGGAATTTCGGAAGCCAAGGTGTGGGAAGACTGCAACGTCTGTTCAGACAGTGGGTACTGCTCAAATGCCGGAATTGCTCATGCTAAACAGCTGATCCTGCCAGGGAATTGAGGAGAAGAAGCAGGCGAGTGAGGAAATCTGCTTGCCCACAAAACGCCTTGCAACCGCGGTTGCCCACGGCCCCGGAAAGCCTCCTAGGGGAAATCAAATCAAAACGAAGTGTGGGGGGGGCTTCATGGTGACACAGCGCCTTATCAATCGCAAGTACAGAATGGAGACCGGCAAAGAGGTTGCAGATGTGCCACTGAAGTCATCAGTGTATGTTGTCAATAGTAACTTTTTGGGATGCTTTGACAGGAAGCCAAAAGGAAACGGACAAATATACCCAAACTGGCGTGAATTCTAACAACAGATCCTTTGGTGGACATCATTTAGGTGGGGATTCATATCCACCAGCCACTTGTGAGGCGGATCGCTATTCAAATTCCCAGCCTCGTCATCTTGGGTGATGCCACGGGACATGCCTGGCACTGTTCCACATGGCCTTTGTTGCCGCCCCCTGATTGTGCTGGATGGTCCGCTGCTTGGCGTCAGCCAAGGAACTCACCAAAGGAAGACTGTTGCTTCTTTTTTGGGGGGGTGGTGTAACCAAATGGTTGACAGTCCGTCTCAAAAAGCGTATCCTGTAGTTCGATGATACTGCGCGGGGCCTTTCCCAGGCACCAAAATACTCGCAAGCCCATGAGTACAGTCGACTCCCAAAACATTGCAAGTATGGAACCATGCGTATTCTTGGCCTCGCATTTGTGTACTGCTTATTCTTTCGCTGTTCAACATACACGCGTGAAGTCCTGATTTCATTTCGTGGTTTGCCGTACTCCACGGTTGGTCTGTTAGCCGCGCTAGCCACATGCCTTTGGATGAATGGGCAAACGGCGATTCGACAAAGTTGTTTGCAAAACACCTTGTAGAATCCATGATGGGAGAGGAAGCCTGTTCAATTGGGAAAAGGGCCACGTGACTTGGACAATGTGACAAAGTGTTCTGTGACATTCAATACCATGTATGTCAAGGATCATCGATCACAATGCTGACCACTTTTGCTGCTATGGTCAAAACTAAAAAAAGCGCAGGGCATCTGCAGGCAGGGCTTGCAATCCAAAGGCCAGCCCATGATGAGAATCATCGTACCCAGGTTTGGGAAAAACCTCCGGGTTTTCCCAACGGCTTTCTGAGTCTCCACCTCTTGGAAATTCTCCCAACAAACAATCGGAAAGTCTGAGATTTCAGGCGGGGTCCAAACCAGCCACCGCTCGGGGCCCCAAGAAAAACGAACGAAATCCCCGGGTGTCTTCCGCCTCCTGGGCCTTCGTACAGCATCGCCCATGCGGAAGCCAGCCGCGCGGGCGACGATTCCGAGCCCGCGATCTCGGAATCGATCTTAGCCTCCAACACCTCCCAGCGAGAAAACGGGGACCTTGTGGGTACCCTTCAAGCCACAAACGTAGCATGTGTGGGGTACCTGGAAGATCGATTTCCTCAACCCCTGTCAGGTGTGATTAGTTGGAGGTAATGTCAAAAAGGCACCCCCCAAAGTCGGTGGGTTTTCCGGTAGTTTCCGTTTAAAGCCATCCCAAAACGGGCCACAACCAAATCGAGACACCGGTGTCACTTTGGTTGAAGCCGCGCCGCCCCAAGTCCTTTCCAAATGGTGGCCCAAAACTATGGTGCGGGGAACCCAGACCTGCAGCTGAGCACTCCAAACAAACAGGTGTTTAGCTTACTTTTGTAATTCTAAAACCGTTGTTGGCAATTCAGAAAGCGTGAAAGGAACCCCCTCCAAACGGCATTTGCTCATTGACCCTCCATGAGGCTGAGCAGTCTTGGGGTACTCTCTTTGGTTGAAGACAGGCGGCCCCTCATTTGGAGAAACAAACCTACGGATCATAAAGCTTAAGCGGCTTGCTAGGTAGCGAGAAAACTGCTAGATAGCTATAGGTCAAATCAAAGAGCAGCCAAGTGACGGCTCATAGTCAACCTATTTGCCTTCAGCCGCATCTCCGTGCTTTGAACCCAGCTGTGGCAAGCGGGCGTCGGGCGAGCGCTTGGCTTGAGGCGAATGCTGGTCGTCCAAATCTGTCCAAGGTGGTCCTTCTTTCCAAGTTTCAATCAAACACTAACTAACTCGTTCTAAGAATTGTCACAATTTCATCCTCGGGGCATCCCGAGTTGTAGGAAGGGCGTCAGCCAAGGCGACGTCTCATGAGTAATTACTTTCATGGCAGCTCTGATGCCCTGGCACGGGTCCACACACAGGAAGATTGAAAGCCATGACCATGGTGCTTGCGAGAATCCGGGGGCACGAATCCGGGGAAGAGGGGGAATCCGCCACGCACATGTGCACGCGCTATGCTTTTGCAACATCCATGGAATTGATGGTTCATGGACTCCCTTTTGTTTCTAGAGAGGAGCGCCTGCGCATTCATTGATGCTTGCTGGCTTGTTACTTGCTCCGGTTTTATTTGGTTCCCCCTTGGTGGAGGTGCGAAACGCAAGGAACTCTACCATTCGCCATGGCCCCCCAATTCAGGAACCCCCAAAAAGTGCCACACGTAGGCTGGTGCTGACCATCCGAGCAGGGGGAGGATTCCCAGCCGACCAAACAGCCGGTCTTGGCCCACGCGTAGGGCCAACTTTCAACGACCCGAGCTTGGTTCGGAAAGCCGACAACATCAGCCATCCTGGGCTGCGGATTTTTTGCCGACCCTTGCCTGTTTCGTCAACTGCAACGCTTCCCAGCTCCAACAGCGGAGACCTTCACCACCGAATCCCCGCACGCAGGCGGATCGCTTTTCGCTCTCTGGCTCCATATCCACGTCCAAGGCCAGCACCTGGCTCGGCTCGTGAGGCTTCCTCGAAAAAGTGGCAATCGCCCCTTCAAAGCTGGGATCGAGCAGATTCACGCCTGTGGATTCTGAGTGATGAGCGTCCCGTTAATGGATGGGTTTGCAAATCAAGCCAAGAGGGGCCGCCCTTTGGCACAACATGGGGCCCTTTCCCACTGGTCTCTTCAAACCAAGTTCCCGTTTTCAATGGGTTTGTGAAAATTGAAGGAACCTGCAAATGGTGTCCCTGTGGTTGAAGCATGAAGTTTTCAGTCCCAAAACAAAATACTCTCAAACAGAACCCGGCTCCTCCCGCGCCTGGCTGGCACCACGGCGCATGACCCCCCGCTGCAGCGCCCGGTAGGGCACCTGGCGAATCGCTCGAATCGGTCTGAGGTCTGAGGCTCTGTTGCCCTAAGGCTGCGCTTACCTCCAGATTCCCCAACTCGTGCAGGTAAGTTACAACCAGCAAAGCCAGGGCTCCCCTTGGTTCAGGGAATGTGTTTGACTCGGAGGGACAGTTGCCTTTACTGAGTTTGCATCTTAAAAACACAATGAAGGTTATGTTTGTTTACTCTGAGAAGGACACGACATCAAAACCTAGCAAGGTGAGAGTTGCCATGTTCTTTTCTGAGAAAGTTCGATTCGACTTGTTTGGGTCCCTTGCTCACCGGTGCTCATTGGCAAGTTGACTAGTTATATTGTCTGCCATCTTCCAGGAGTTAGATTTCGAAATGCATACGATTCGCAGGAATCGGGGCGCGGAGAATGGGATGATCCATTCAGGAACGTTTCGGCACTGGGTTACCTCCAGTCAGTCTGCTCAGAGGGTAGTGACCGTAGTGTTCACGATGTTTGCCCTGGTAGCAAATCCAACTCACTGATTCATGGTTATGCGCCGGCACACCATACATAAGTGTGTCGGCTGGCGCTCAAAAACACGCCCATACAGCGACGACGCCCAATTGAGAAACCCTTCCTCTTGTGACAGCCTGACGCCAACCATCAAGGAAACCTGGCCCCATTGGGTGAGGAAACCTGGTGCTCCGAACGGATCAATTTGCCGTCTTCCTTGGGCGGTTTCCCTCAACGTTTGGCACGTGAAGACATGCTGCAAAAGTCCCATGGTTTCGGAATTGACAATACTAGCCAAAAAAGTAGGGGGCAATCCCAAACCCACACCCAACCTGCCAAACTGTTTGCTTGCCGGTTGAAAACATGTCGGGCGGCCAAGTTCCAATCCCATCCAAAGTTCAAGGGACGCTTTGCTCAAGGAACAGCGAAAGAAACAACAGACTATATGTGTCAAAGGGGGAGTTTGTCTCACCCAAAGGCGCCAGCCCGCTAACATGTGAGCCTCAAACAAAAATCATAGGACTTGGCCTGCCCCCCTGCTGATTTCCGTGAGGAAAACAGCGTTGTCCCCTGTCCTCCCCAAACCAACAAAGAAGACCACCAACAACAAATCGCCAGCGAGATGAGCTGCAACCAGCAGCGGTCCATTTCTTTTCACCGCATGTCCTCTGATGGGTGGGATCGTACCTGTTGGTCGATCTTTTCAATCGCTGGAGTAGATGGTGATGTCTCTCAGACATCCACAACCCGAAGTCAACTACAAATCAAAGGAATGCATATCAAAATGCAAACCAAAATATTGTACATCCAAGCATCGAAAGGGTGGACGCGCTCCCCGTCGTAGGTCAGCTCCCTTCGAAGGTGAGGCCGCAGGGCGACCGGACCAAGACAAAGATGAAGCGCTGCAAAAATGTCCTCACTCGAAGGTCGTCCCAGACAGTGTCGGTGTCGCAAATGGCACAGCCGTAGCAAGCGCCGTACGCCAGTCGGTTTCCTCCGCAGCATGATGTACTGTGAGTGGAAGTTGAGTTGGTAGAACGAGCAGCGCAGCTGATGTTGTTGTAGTCCAGCACAAGGCGCCGGACGCAAGACTGGCTGTCCACCTGCTAGGTCTCTATGAAGGCGTTGATGGCCGGTTCGCGGGACAGGCGGTGGATTCTCCATCCGGAAACGGTTGAAGATGACGCCATCGTTGACGGTCGCTAGGAGCTGCCCGCACAGATCGTCCGCCGCGGGCGAGGCCATGTTTATAGAAGGGAACGAACTGAAGAAAAACCTTCAGAATTGGAGGTCGCTTGCCAGACTCGCGGTGGAGCCGGTAGTGCGCCGGTTTGGAAAGGCAACTTAGAGAAAATGGGTGAATCGATGGAGGGCTCTCAAAGGCGTGCCACACCGGCACAAACGTCTGTGGTTGTAAGACGCGCCACACCGGCACAAGCGTCCACTTCATTGGAGGGGGGGCTCGATGATGGCCATCGTCCGCTGGTCATTCGTCAAGAAGTTGGAGACGGTCTCAATGGTCGCCCTACCCAAAGTGCCGGCGACGGTTGTGTCTCGGTGTGAGGCGCGCTCAATTGTCTGCCAAAGGTCAACCAGGACCGCGCCTTGGGAGGACTGATTAATTCTGCGCGAACGTTGCTGGAGGTGTTGCTGGACGACCCATCGAAAGATAGCGCGCATGGGTGTCTGGTTCTCCTCTTGGCGGCGTGTAGGCGTTGGTCGGGGTCCGAGAGTAGGTGCCGAGGTCCGTGACGAGCCAATGGCGGTGGTGGGAAACTCGAC